ATATAATAATTTTATATTTATTTATATAAAAATATTAAAGAGACGAAACTTTTGATGAAATTACAATTTTTCAAAAAAGAGTTTAATCAGGTATTACTAATACTAGTACTATATTTTCAGCTAATATCTTTATATAAGTATATAATACTTAATAATTATATAATATCAATTATATTAAATATATCAACTATATCAGTTATATATCAAATATATTAATTAATTATATAAATATGGATTTTTTCTTTATAATAATTGCTATAATATTTATTAATAATTAAAATTAATATTATTTTATAATTATATATTAGATTTTTTTAAATTTTTTGATTATTAAAAATTTTATTTTATTTCAAAATTATTTTTTTTTAATAATTTTTAATTTTTAAAGCTATTATAAAATGTTTTATTAAATTAAATTATAATTTATTTTTATAAAATTTCATTTTTATAAAATAATTTTTTTTAGCTACCATTTTTTTTGTATTTGATCTTTAATGATTTATTTTATTTTTATTAAATTTAAAACTAAATTTTTATTATATTTATTTATTTAAACTATTTTGCATTCCAATTATATTTTTTACCTTTAAATCTATTTAATTAATATTTAATTTTTACTAGTATTAATATGATGATTATTAGATTTAACTTTTATTAAAATTAATTCTTTTTGTGCTATTTTAATATTTATGAAAATAAATTTCATATTTATTATATTTATTGTAAAATGTGAATAGTTTTTCATATATGTATTAAAAACATAAAGTACATTTATCTATAAACCAACTTTACCTATAACTTCAGGTTTAATGCTTAAATTTTTCGTAAGCATTACATCTGTGTAAAGAATTTTTCACGTGATATTATTGTTTAATAATATCAATTTGATTGTTACTCATAAAGTTGGTGTAACGCTTTTTTTTTTTTTTAAGGATGGAAATAGAAATTATGCTCATTTATTTAATCGCGTTTACAATATTGATGTAATATCGCTAAACTTTTGTGTCACTGATTTAAAGAAAATTTTTTTGCGTAAGTATTAGTTCTTTCCAGTTTTCTTGACGACTAACTGAGCACTAAACACTTTTTTTTTCATAATTCTTTAATTATCTTTGTGCTCACTCCTTTTCTCGTTAATAAACTTTTAAGTGTTGTATTATAATTATAATATATCAATATGAGAACCCAAGAAAAAAAAATGAAGTATATTTTGATATCTGGTGGCGTGATTTCGGGTATTGGGAAAGGAATATTTGCTTCTTCTCTGGGTCTCTTATTAAAAACTATCGGATTAAGGGTTACTGCTATAAAGATAGATCCTTATATGAATATTGACGCGGGAACTATGAGTCCTATCGAGCATGGTTGGTTTTTTCTCTCCCGTATCAGTAACATATATTTCAATCATATTCATTGATTTATATTATATATGTAATAGGTGAAGTTTTCGTATTAAATGATGGTGGGGAAGTAGATCTTGATTTAGGAAATTATGAACGTTTTCTTGATATAACCCTTACCAAAGATAATAATATCACAACTGGAAAAATCTACCAAAAAGTCATCAATGAAGAGGTTATAAATAATTTGAATAATATATATATATATTTTTAAAGCAAATTCATTTCTTAATTCTTATAATAATTATTATTATTTGATCAAATAGCGAAAAGGAGATTATCTGGGCAAGACTGTACAAGTGGTATAGATCTATAAAGTTTTTTTTTCATCATTTTCATATTATAAATGTGTTTTACTTTGTTCGAACCTTGATTTTAGGTTCCCCACGTAACTGATGCAATGCAAGAATGGATTGAACGAGTAGCCGCAATACCTGTTGATGAAAGTGGCGAAAAACCTGACGTGTGCATTATTGAGGTGTGAATTTATTACGTTAGTTAATTTTTATGGTAAGGTAAAATCTAAAGGAATTCATACTTAATCTAGTTGGGGGGCACGGTTGGTGACATAGAATCCGCCCCATTTGTCGAAGCGATGCGCCAATTTCAATTTCGAGTAGGATACAAAAATTTTGCATTGGGTCACGTGTCGCTTGTTCCCATTATTGGTCCAGTAGGCGAACAAAAAAGTAAACCAACTCAAGCCACCATAAGAGAATTAAGATCTCTTGGATTATCACCTGACTTGGTAAATTTAAAAAATTAGGCTATAAAATATTTGTTGTCTTTGTAATAACGAATTCAAATGTCATTTCAGATTGCGTGTCGTTGCTCCACAACATTAGATAATGACGTTCAAAATAAAATCTCAATGTTTTGTCATGTTGGAAAAGATCAAGTAAGTATGGATTAATATATTATATGTTATTTAAAAGTCAGCTGATTAATTTTGATCCATCTTAAGGTACTTTCTGTTCGAGATGTCTCCTCAACTTACCACGTTCCTCTTTTATTAAGAGAACAAGGTGTTTTGGATTTTCTAAAGAGAAGACTAGATTTGGATAGCATTTCTATTTCATCGACTCAAATCGAGAAAGGCGAAACCTTATTGAAACAATGGACGAGGTTAACAATAGAGTACGGATTTTGAAAATATATATGTAAAAAAAAAAGTAATTTCCGATTTTTCGATTAAAAGTTTTATAATTAATTTCTTTTTTTTAAGCCATGATCACCTCTCACAGCCCGTTATAATAGCCTTGGTGGGAAAATATACGAATCTTCAAGATTCGTACCTTTCTGTTAAGAAGTCACTCGAACATTCTGGACTAAGATGTGAGAGAAAATTAATTCTTAAGGTATTTTAAGATTAATATTTCATAATAAGGGTATATATAATCAATATATTAACTTGCAATATAATTATGGATAGTGGATCGAAGCTTCATACTTGGAAGTAGAATATGAAAAAACAGGTCCGGAAAAGTATCGAGAATCATGGGAAGATTTAAAATCTGCTGATGGTATTTTGGTTCCGGGAGGATTCGGAACTCGTGGCACAGAGGGAAAGATTGCTGCAGCAAGATATGCACGCGAAAACAAAGTTCCTTATTTAGGTATTTATAAAATTATTTAATGAGCACTTTGAGCAAAATGAAAGCGACTTTGCTAATAATGCTTTGTGTTTATTTAGGAATTTGTCTAGGGTTGCAAGTAGCCGTAATTGAATTTGCTCGCAACGTTTGCGGTCTTGAAGGTATATATAATATACTCATTGTACTAGTCCAATATTATGTACACAATTAATAAACTCAATTTATCTCTCAATAGCTGCAAATTCAGAAGAGCTCGACAAAAATGCAACACATCAGGTTGTTGTCAATATGCCGGAAATTTCAACAACAGTTCTTGGAGGAACAATGAGATTAGGGTTGAGATCTACTATCTTTCAAGATGGAACAGAATCATGGTCAAAAATACGTAAGCATCATAATGATTTTAAAGTTAATCCAAAAAAAACCATTATTTAACATTGATTGAGATGACTTATTTAGGAAAATTATATGAGAACGCCCAATCTATCTCTAAAGATCATTTTGTTGTTGAGCGTCATCGACATCGATATGAAGTAAACCCTAATTACGTATCCATATTCGAAGCAAAAGGGTTACAATTTGTAGGACGTGATGAAACCGGAAGAAGAATGGAAATAATGGAACTTAAAGGTAATATAGGATCATTTTTAAACAAATCAACAAGTCTCCTTTGTCTGACAAAAAAAAATATATATATATTTTTTTTTAGATCATCCATTCTTTATTGGTACACAATATCATCCTGAATATCTTAGCCGTCCTCTTAAACCGTCGCCTCCTTTCCTTGGATTTGTTATGGCTTCTGCAGAATTTTCAAACAAATCTGTATTAAAGAGTAAACCAAAGACTAATGGAATTTCGGGGATTCATAATCATTTCTAATAATTTTCATTGTCACTTATTTAGCTGTTACCTAGATGTAAAAAAAATCATTATACGAGGAGATTGATTTGAATGAACTTTGACAACGAACTTTTTTGAAGTTGCTATAAAGAATTCTATCGATCCCCTCTTTCATTCATTAAAATCTGCTAAAATTAAAAACTTTTCTATAAAAATTAAGTTTAAATTTTATCCTTTTTTTTTTATAAAAAAAAAGGGAACTAAAACTAGTCTGTAAAATTTTATCGAAGTTTAATCCATTCATAATATCTGTACTCTTGCATTCCACTGAAATCATCTAATCCTCGTTCTTCTTCACTCCTTTTAATAATAAATCCATGTTCACACATTCGTTTTTCAAACAACGTAACTTCTTTAGTATGAGTTGAACGAAGAGGAATCGTTAAATAAAAAATTCCCCTTGGTAATAAAAAATGATTTATCACTTTAGGTATCCAATCGGTATGCGGAATTTCATACACAATATCTGCACCGACAATGATTTCAAATTTTTCTCGAGATATATTATCTGAAATAGGACTTTTTTTTTCACCATAAGCAATTTCTTCCCAATCCAGTTTTTCCACATGTACAGTTGAATCCAATTGATTTGATTGAACGTTATAAGCAACGTTAGAGAGAACGCGTGGATGATAATCCGTTAAGATAACTTTTGGACAACCCAATTTCGCGCAAGTCAGACCGACCAACCCCGTACCGGTCCCGATCTCGAGGATAGGAATCGACCGGAGTTGATCCAACGGCATAGCAAATCCTGATGTGGAACGTCTATTATGATTTATAATCCGACAAAAATAAACAAAAAAAAAAAATAAATAAAGTATTAAACTAAAAGAAAACAAATGAACAAACAAACAAAAAAAAAAAATTTGATTTATAATTAATTATTTACCTTGCTAATAAATAAGCGGCACCCCATGTCTTGAAACCAACATCATCGTCGAGCAAAGTTGTATCACGTATTTTCAATATGACAGAATGACCATTATCAGCCTGTGATAAAAACCGCCATTCCCTAACGATTGGCCCGGATGCTACATGATAAAAGTAATTCGGGTTATCATTGTATTAAACGGATAAAAAAAAAATTAAAAAGAAAAAATAATCACACCAACTTTTCCGCAAGCGGAAGATAGGCATTTTGCTGCGCGTTCCAAAACATCATCTCTTTCCGAATCATCAACCATCCATTCCAATGAGGAAGCAACAAGTTTGGTTAACCATTCGATGACATTCTTTTGATCCAATGAATAATTTTTTTCCCCGCATCCATTTAAAGGATTCATCTCCCAAATTGGTTTGGTTTCTTTTTCAAAAAAATATTGTTGGAGGTTTTTTAAAACATTTAAAAGAGTATCATGATTCGGTTGTTCTTTACGTAATGAAGGAAGACATAATGTTTCAAGTTCAATCATTTTTTTTTTTTATTTTGAGGAAAGAGAGAGGATTGGTTGCAAAACATACTATTTATATCATGTAACATTTATGCAATAAAAATAATAAATAATAGGTGTTACCGGAAAAAAATTTTTTTTTTCAAGTTCTTGTTCATTGTTAATTTTTGTAACTATTAGTTCGAAATTTTTTTTAAAAAAAAAGGGGGAAGAACGATATAACGAAAGACCAAAAATAAAAATCATATTCATCCTAACGAACTTTGGACTAAATTTCATTTTAGGTTTTTTTTTTTTTAACTTTATCGGTTTTAATTTAACATAATCAAGTTTTAAAAAAGTGAGGGAATCGAAAGGAACTTCGATTCGATGAAAGAAAATAAATTTGGTTAAACCAGAAGCGTTTCCTGGAAATTTCCTGAAAAAAAAAATAAAGGAATTTTAAGTGGATTTGCATAAAAACAACGAAATTATGATTGTTTGGCTGATTTTTTTTTTTTTTTTTTTTTTTTTTCAAAAATAGACCCATTCACTTCACCACCAGGAAATCCTATATTTTAAATAATTTAGCTGCTCATTCATGTAAAAAAATATTAATTTAGGATCAACCGTTTGCCTAACATCCAGCATCCATCTAACAATGAAAAAATTTATCTATGTCCTTTATTCAAAGAAACCTTCTAAGTCAAGATGTCTCATTCTTTGCATAAAAATTAATAAGGAAATTTTTTTTTAATAAACTAATTCGCATATTTGTATATGGATGTTTCACGTCAACAAATCAAATCAATGGTTCGTGCGCCAATAAAATACAATAAATGATAATATAAAATAAAATTGTAACCCATGCGCCTTCCTTCAAATTATTGAAAGAATGTGAACATATGTTCTTCCCATACGAACAAGAATCATGGTAAATCTCTGTCAAGTAAATCAAAATTGTGTTGTTTTTGGATTTACCTAACCATTTGAACCAAAAGAAGAAGTTAAAAAATAAAAATATTGTGAATAATAAACAAAAAAAAGGAAAATAAAGAAATAAACATACACCATCACAAGTGACAGATGCACCTCTTGCATAAATAAATAATATAAAGTTGAAAAATGACCTCGTCAATGATGAAAGAAAAAGTTATATTGGTGTATAAATTAAGCTTAGACCGACCGGAGATCGGAAATATGAAAAAAACGTTTACATTCACGTGATATTATAAATTTGACAAAATGGCTTTTTGGGAGGGAAAAAAATAAGAGAACAATGTTAACATTTTAGAGATTAATTTGAATTGGGAAAACTTGCATTGTCTATGAATCTTTAATTTGAACAATGCCTAAAAAAAAAAAAAAAAAAAAAATAAATGATAAGCAACGCGTCCAAAAATAATGGCAGCTTATTACTCGTCAACGTGTTGGTATCGTGTCGTTACGCGATATTTTTACAGCTTCCTTAAAGTAATTTAAAAGTGCGAATTTTAAGAATCCTTTCACGTGTAAAAGATTTACCTTTTTTTCTTCTAATATTTTTGAATGTGAGAAAAAATGACCATTTAAATAATTTGGTTTTAAAATAAAAAATTTTTTTTAAACTTTTTTATTTTTATTTTTTTTGGCTTACAATGGGAATTTTGTTTTCATTGTGAGAATAATCTGAAATCAAAATTTTAGAGAGCTGTCAACTTTTCAAATAAACAAACAAAAAAAGGTTCAATCACTAAAAAAAATGGACGGTGCAGTAAGATTATGATTCACATGCGAAAGATTGTTAACGTTAGCTAAACCCTTTAAGGATCGTTTATTTGCATGATAAAAGTAAAGCTTTCTCACAGATAGTGTGCCGCATGCATAAAACGAATTATTTATTATTTTTTTATAATACCAATTAGGTTAAACCGTAGATGTGCATTTTTTATTTGCATTTGCATTTTTTTATTTTTTACAAGAAAAAACGGTTCATCAAAATACGATTATCTATCACCTTTCTTATTAAATGAGTTAGAGTACCAAACCTTTTAATTTTATGAGAACTGAATGAGCCTCAAATGTGTTAAAAGTTACACGCGAGTATTTGTAATCGTAAAAAATACGAGAACCATTTTGAAAAAGTAAGAATTTTCATTAAAACTCGATTGTGAAATGTATGCAATACATGCCAGTTACCATCATCTCTTTATCTGAAATCTTAAACTGGACTGGGTAACTTCTTTTAATTTGAAACTATGAACTTTCTAGTCATTTATGGAAACTAATAAGTTTTTTTTAATATTCCTAACCTATTGAATGTACGTATTACGTTCCCTTTAGTCAAGTCGTAGGGTAGAGGTCCCGATTTCGGATGACATAAGTATTGATAAACAACGCCGAGATGCTTCTGATAAACTTGATAAACTTTAATTGTAGTTATAATAATAAAAAAATTTTTCAATTGACAAGGGACTCAATGTCAAAATTTTATATAATCGATGCCATACCGATTTTAATTATACAATAGAGTATAAAAAAAAAAGAATTCTCAAAATCTTTTATAAATCGATATCCCTAAATAAATTAATGATAACTTTAAATCAAGGCGTATGGTATGTATCATTTCATCATAATTTGGAAATTAGAATGACATTTTGGGAAATTTTTCTCTTAATGATTTTTTTTTTCCTGTCCCTATTTATGATGATGATGAAGAAAATGCAAAAATTAACAAGGAAGTCTTTTCGGAGAAAAATTATGACAACAAATCGGGTATTTAAATAAACGAGCAATATAAAATAAAATAAGCTGTACATTGTTTGGGGAGGGGGAATGATCATTAAACATTAAATCTTCGTTAAATTATACAAAAAACACTTGATCTAAATGCATATCGATTGATGAAAGTAAAAAGAAACTCAAATCTTAGATCGTATTAATGGAAAATGTTTTAGTTTCTCAAATTTATTTGCTTTTATGATTATAATAAATAATAATCTCTCTTGACAATCAATATATTATTTTTTATGCAGTACATTAAAGATCTAAGATTTAATTTATTATAAAATTTTATTTTAAAATATGAAAAATATATACAATGAATTGTAAGCACATATAACTCATATAATGGTGATATTTGAGAAAGAAAACTAACCAAATTAAATTTACGTTTTTATTGGGGTAATACGAATTTTTTCAACAATTTAAAATACAAAGTATAAAAAGAATTTTTTACCATGTGCATAAATAAAGTAGTTTGACACATATAAATCCAAGATATCCCCGATAAAACGAAATCCTTTTAGTGGTTGCGATTTGGTTTTTTATGATCATAACCTCATTCGCGAATCCTAATTCCTTTCATCATTAAGCAATCTTCCTTAAGTTTGCACTTTTATAAATCTCCGTGTCTAACGACTTCAAAATTTTTTTTTCTCGATTTATTTCGATCTCGTTCTTTTTCATTCGGAAAATATATTACGAGACTTTTAAATTAAAGTACGACACAACTTAATCCCTACGTTGACCAGGAAACCCACCCCTTACATAACACTTTATATTATACGAACCCCTCTATTGTTTATTGTTCATATTGATTTTTTTAAATTGCTTCTTGTAAGCGTCATTGTGCTTTGCATTCTCATTAATAGTTTGTATATAGTGAGTGGTTAATTGACTTTTCAACCCCTTTTTCAGTAAAAAAAAAAAAAAAAAGTATTTTTTTTTTAATTTTTCCTCGTTCTATAAAATCATCCGTTTCCTTTTTTCAACATGAATTTGCAAAACAACCACCACCAAATAACTCTATTAGGTAGCTTATGTATTTCATTTTATTTTTTATTTTTATATCTTTTATTTTTTATTTTTTATTTTTTTATTTTTTTAATTGAAAGGAATTTCAATGTAAAATTATTCCAAAAACGATTTATTTATCGTGAATTCAGATCAAATATCAATTGAGATGAACAATTCAAAATATTATTCAGAAATGAACGGTTCACAAGAAGACAACAAACATATTAGAGAATCCCCAGCGATAACTGGAAATTCTGGTCTACAACCATATTATCATCAACAGGATCCAATGATAATACAAATACCATTTTATTTCGAAAATAATAATGTCAGTAATTTAAATAACCCGTTATTCGAGGTATAAAGAAAAATGTCTTTATCACCTGATTTGTCACTTTTTCCTTTGTTTACCATTGTCATGTCATCATTGTTCAATTTTTCTGGTGATTTCATTTATGTTCAATTTTCTTTTATTAACAACTTCTTTTCTCCTCATTTACTTGATATCGAAACGTCTTTTTTTTGAAATATCTTTTGCGTTTCATAACTTCTAGATTTACTCGCACGATAATTTGATCCAAAATAATCATTTGAATCCGTACATTCAAGTACGTCATAATGTTTTTTACAGATTATATTTAAAAAATAATTAAATTATCTAATCCACTACTTATTATTATTTTAGTCTCAAAATAACGATATGGTAAAACCCGTTCGTTTTATTGTTTAATTAGTTTCAGATCTTGATGATTTAATTCGTCAAACATTTATTCTTTTTTTAGTTATCACAAGGTTGTTCAGTAATTGATTTTGAACACCAAAATGCTCCAACGACGACCTTGGTGATTAATGATTTTTTAACGTATTTATTTCATTTGATCTTCATGTTTATATTAACCTTTCCTTGTAACACAGAATGATACCTCTTGTCCTCAGTACGAAAGCGAGTGGCAAATGGTTAGAGGAATTATTATTATTTTATTTTTAATTGAATCGTTCCTATTGATGAAATATACTTAAACGGTTTCTTTTTTTTCCTAGCCTAATAATTCAAACGAGGTATATCCTAATAATGGTATAACGCATCCAAATATGTATAACTCGGTTTTGGAAAGTCCGTTCTCAACTCCAAACCTCGCGGTGATGGAGGAGGCATTATCTGTTTATACAACCCCATATCCTATGATATCTTTCAATGAGACGCAAAATTATAATTTCACATTAAACTCGGTATGTTCAAAATGAATTGGTTCTATTAGTTTTAATTAATGGCAAACGAATTTATACGATTACTTCTTTTTATGCATGCAGACACGACCTCAAACATTTACTTCAGTTCCACCTTTGTACGAGGAATATCAATCATGCGTCACAACAAATGAAGGTTCACCACCTTTAAATTCCCCAAACACACATTGTAATCAAAAATCTCCGGTATATACAAAATGGACCGAGGAGGAAGATGAACGCTTGAGAAATGCCATAAACATATACGGACCACACAAATGGTCTCTAATTGCTTCTCATGTTCCAAATCGAACTCCGATGCAATGCTCTACAAGGTGGTTAGGCGCTTTGAATCCAACCATTCACAAAGGACGTTGGACTCCCGAAGAAGACGCCGCATTAAAAGAAGCGGTTAGCGAATATGTTGACCTACTTGATTCAGACGGTCATCCACAACCTATCCCTTGGAATAAAATTGCATCTCATATTCCTCATAGAACAGGAATTCAATGTCAAGCTCGTTGGTCAGAAGCATTAGATCCAAATGTAAGAAAAGGTAAATGGTCGCCTAATGAGGATGAAGTATTGAAAGATGGTGTAAATAGATATGGTAGATGCTGGATCCGTATTGCTGAATTAATTGAAGGACGAACACAGGTAAATAATTATATATGTCAATCTTCGGTGTCACTCGATTTATGAAATGATCGGCAGCCAATTTTGAAAAAAAAAAATTTTTTTTTAAAAAATTTACAGAGGCAATGTCGAACGAGATGGGTGCAAATCAGAAACAAGCAGTTAAAACTTGAACGAGACGCTATTGTCGCCAAAAATGTATCTGCTTCAAGCACGGTGTCGGTTGATAACGACGAAGACTTAGTAATGTTGACACCACCAAATACGACACCATCTACACCCTACGCCGGTAATGCCAGTTATTTTGCTCTCAAATATGAACCCAATGAACCATATCGTAAATAATAATACCACTTTGTCTCCGTCTACGTCACCCGAAAGGACTTGTACAACTCTGGATAATCCTTCGTCCGTTGGAACAAATCCTCATTATAAAAATCCGAATAACGACATTTATAATTTTAGACATTATTAAATGACAATTATGCGAAAATAACCTATACCAAAAAAAAAATTTGTTTAAAACGGACTCTTCGTTTATTATTATTATTCTTAGAATAAGGAGTACCAAAATCCAAAACATTTAAGAATTAGTACTTTCATAATACTCATTTTATACATAAGCAATCAATTTAAGATTTTATTCATGCTCAAACATATAATCCTTTTCCCCTTCCAATTTCGTGTATTAATCCATTATGGAGGTTTTTTATTGATTTATTATTCATCTCCTACAAAATACCCTATTAGAACTTCATTAATTTCATATACGTCAAATTGCTCGGTTTTTCACAAGGCAGTAAAAGAAATGTTTTCGTCACATATGTTTTTATTTTTTAAAAAAAAAACTGGTGTAATTTGAACATTACACAATTAAGAATAAGTATGTTCTTTCAATGGCTTTTCATACGTTTAAAAAAATCGAATTTTTTTTTAATTACTTTATTTCGTTAATTAAAAAGTATTTGTAATAAATAAAAATTAAAATAAAAGTAAACATTTCAAGCAAAAAAAAATTTGAGAAAACTTTACGTAAAATTTGAAGTTATTTTATAAAATATATGGGCCTTTGCAATAGAAAGGGGGGAAACTGCCGGGAAAAATCAATTTTACTTTATATGCCAAATATGATTTTTATGCTAAAATATGTTCAAATTTAGCATTAACTCACTTTTGATTTTTTCGGCTGTTTCCCCCCTTTCTATTGCAAAGGCCCCATATGATAAAGTTAATTTTCGTATTGCTTGGATTAAGATGCACTATCCTGAAATGACGAATTATTTTTTGTTGTTGTTTATATAAATTTATTAAAGTCATAATTATTTAATTTCTTAATATAGAAATTTTTCTGATAATCCGTTTAACCTATATTGTTATATCATGGATAAGAGAGGAACATGAACAAAGCGTAATTAATTTAATTAATTTTGAGATATATAGGTAAAGAAGCGTGCGAAAGGACGCAATACTTTGATGTTTTCCTTACAAAAATGGCTATCAACAAAAAACAAAAGTATTAAATTAACTCGCAATCATCACGATATAAATTATTAATTTAAAATCTAACTTTATTGAAAAATACGATACCAGATGCAAGCAAGATGAAACACAATGTAATGAATCGATTTAACTTGGTTAGATCCTAAAGGATCTTTTTAATTAAATTAATAAATAAATAAATTCCATTGTATAGTTTCAGGGTAGGATTTCCCCCCCCCATTTATAAAATAAATAAAAAATTTTTTGATTTAATCAATTCAATCAATTGTTTTATAAATAGCTTTTCACGAGATAGATATTCAAATCAGTGATCTATGCCACATCAACCAATGATGGTTTTTTAAAATATATTGTGTAATGAGAGACATTACTTTATTTATTCCAAATTCGTTGAACGACTTTGTTACATCCTTTTGCCATTTCTATTGTAACAAAAGTACATATATGGTCATCATATAAATAATTTATTCTATAATTATGAATGAATAGTGCATATGTACATGTATTATGACTCACCGCTAGTACTTAAAGTACTTCGGAGAGACCATCTTACCTGACAGTTCCTAGTAAATTTTTACACGGGTCTTTTGTTGTCGGCCCAAGGTTTAGAATCTCAGAAACCTCCCAAAGCCGAACATACCTCTTATGCTCGCTGATTTTGTCCCATAAACACATTGTTACATAGATATACATGAACGATAGTACTATATAATGACTACCTATGATGAGTGGGAACAAAGTTTTCATAAAACAGGTTTCGGAATAAGGTTAAATGGTCCAAAACACCTTTTCGGGTCGATAGAAACGACTTCCTGAAAAGAGAGAAGTCTCTTATTTATCCTATTGTTGGTATAAAGTAACGTCCACTCATATAATTTTATTACCTATAAGATATAAGGGGGATAGTCAGTTTTTAACTTTTTGAATGAGAAATTTAAAAAAACAAGGTTTGGAACATAAAGTGGTATACTGTTGCTTGAAGAAGTATGATTGTGTTTAGATAAATAATTTCTCTCGCTCACTTATCATAGTATCGGATATTAATTGACTCAATCAAATTCTCGGGTAATTGATTGGCACCCTAAACCCACCCCACCCTAAATTTCTAAGGACGAATAGAATTCATGTTTGATTCTTTTTGGGAATTTTAAACCAAAAAGAGTAATTAACATTCAAAAGCCTTGTTTAATCTGATTGGTGGGTGTCCAAATTGGAATATTTTACTATATACGTTACTTTACTAATCGAACTATTTGGTATTTAGAGTTTGAGATCGAAGTTTAAAATAGCTAGTAACTTTTTAAACTAAAATTTTTTGAAAAATGAATTTATTTTATGGGACGGGGAAGGTTTTTTTTGTTCATTGAACCTGAGATACTAATTTATCGATCAAATATTCTTCCTCTTTTTATAAGGATTTTGTCATGTAATTTCCACTATCGAGACATTTGGCTGGTATTTCAAATCGAGGTCTTGGAACGTTCTATGGTTAGTAATTACGCGAATTTGAGCCTAAAAGCTTTAATCCCGAAATTTCCGAAGAGAATATTGTTTTGAATCGATTATATTCGGGATAATTTTCAATCGTTCAAGTCAAAAAAAAATAATAATAATAATAATAAAATAGATTAAAAGGATATTGTGGCAGATTCCTTAGTTGTTGTTGGATGGCGTTTTCCGTGGCGGATTGATGTTTCGAGTTGATTTATAATATGATCTTACTCATTTTTCGATAAATGTTTTTTATTCTCCCCAACAAGTAAATTCGAATTTCGAAATTAATGCGAAATGGAGTTTCTTTTCACATGCAAATATATTGGCGTTAAAAAAAATCTTCGTGATTTCGGGACTTTAAAACAATTGTAGAAAGTAATTTTTGTCTACAAAGCTTTGTGTTCAAAAAAAAAAATTTCTCGTCGGGAATTTCGGAATGAAGCGCGAAAGTTTTTTTTTTTGATTTCTAATCAAATTGATTAAAAAAAAAGTAGGCTTCATCACTAATCTTTTCTGGTTAACACTTGATTTGAAGCCACAAACGTAGATGGGAGTCAATGATCTTTGAGAAAAAAAATTTCCTTTTGCCGATTCCTTTATAAGTAATCAATAGATCATAAAGTTGCTTGTTATGATTATAAATCTTTTTTTTTTTTGTTTGGAATAAACAATTATTTCATTTGTTTGGGGTTGGAAATATTTGGTTCCCCAATTTCTCACATCTTAATCGTTAAAGGTTAGCGTCAATTAATTTTTTTCACTGAAGGGCTGAGAGATTTACTTTGATGATTTTTAGCCACACATCACGTGATAAACCATGATTTTGGTAAATGTAGAACGTCAGAGTTTTTTTATTCAAGGATTTAACAAATTGATTTAAAAAAAAAATCAAAATAATAATTCATAATCTCGATCGAAATACATCGAAATATCATTGATTCCCCATTTTAGTTGTCTAACCGTGTGTGCCTTAACGTTCAGATCCTTGTTTCTTCCGTATTTCTTGAACGCTTCAAGATGTTTCTCCGGATCACCAGCACACCTTAACGTTAATTCTTTAATCGATGCTTTACAATTTTGAAGGAAGGATTGTACGGCTGATATTGAGAACGTATAAAATGTAATTATTTCGAGATTCTTCAAATTTTCCGGTACGATCCTTGCCAATCGAGGCAAATATTCTTCATCTACATTCCCTCCCGGATCGAATTTTCCTCGAATCTTCAATAATTCAAGTCGTTTACAACTCTCAAATAGGAAACTCAATTGAGGTATCGCTTCCCCGGTTGCTTTAACTTCCAACTTTCTAAGATTTGGACAATGATTTGCGATGTTCATGATCATGCCTGGATACCTTTCAACGTTTCCATACCTTTCAACCCCTTCATATTTCAAAACCTCTAAAGTTGAACCCGTGTTACAAATGATGGCTGAAAGCTCATTGAAAGATGGAAAAGTATGATTCTTAAACTCTAAAACTCGCAACTTGTTTGGATGACCTTTGAAAGACATCGATTCAAGAAAATTTTACCTAGTTCTATGACGATCAAAATCAAGGAATTCGGATCATGTTGGGTGAGAATCGATGATGATACGAATCGTCTTGGTGATTTTCCACCAGATGGAGATTAATTTACATAATTCAACCCAGCTTAATTCACGTAAATATGAAGGATAATCAAAAAGCTGTCGTTCTCCGTAATTTGGTATTTCAATACCAAGAAAAACTTTTGATTCTTCACTTAAAAATGACAAATAAACCGGAACGAGATGTGGTGATTCGACATTCATGGAAAATGTACCTCTCCACAATATAGGAACGATGAGTTTACACCATGTTAGATTAACTAACAAGCAGGAATGTAGAGAGGAAATATCCTTTTCTAGATTAATCAAGATTTCTTCCAAGCATTCTGTCGGAAAATTTGTAATAGTAGCCTTGAAAGATTAGAGGAGTGTTGGAAATTTTTTTTTTTTTTTTGTTTACTAATCGAGTGGCTTTTTTAAAACATTTGTATCACATGTAGGGATGTTAAAGTCTGTGATTGAACGGTTCAGACCATAGTCTGATCATAGAACCGGTTTCGGTTCGGTTATAGGGTTAAGATCGAACTGAAATCGAGTCGAATCGAACCGATTTTTAGACCGGTTTATATGATCAATCTAATTTAAATAGATAATGCGCGTAACTGAAAAAACGCGTTGATCATTGATCATTTTAACTAAAATTACATTCGTTTTGCATTATTATTTGTATTGCAAATATGTCTGGTGATATTTCTTATGAAAATGACGACAATATTTCAGATGTTTCTTCAGTTTCCTTAGCCGAAGAAGAAACTCATACAACAAAAACTCGTAATTCAGACGTGTGGAATTTTTTTTTAAAAGTTCTAGATGAGGAAAATGGATTAATTAAAAATTATAAATGCACTTTATGTGCTAAACTTTATTCCCCTGGCAACCCAACAACAACACTTCGAAATCATTTAACTAAAAAACATTCATTATATTATAAAAAAACTGAAAATCATCAAATTACTTTGAAAGAAATGCGCTTTAAACCCTATTCCCCATCACAATCTAAATCAATCACAAATTCTTTGATTGATGCTGTTGCAACTAATTTACAACCTTTTTCTATTGTTGAAAATCCTGAATTTAAATTGTTTGTCAACAATTTGAATTCTCATTATATTTTACCATGTAGACAAACTTTGAAAGACAATTTTATAAAAAATTATAATATAAGAAGAAGTAATTTAAGAGATGAAATTTCACAAATTAATTCAAAGATATCTCTCACAACAGATATATGGACATCAGATCCAAAGGATTGTTATCTTGGAATAACAATGCATTATATCAATAATAATTGGGAATTAAAAAATCTTTTACTTGATTTAATTCCTATAAATGGATCTCATACCGCGGAATTAATTACAAACAACCTTTCTCAAATTCTTGAAGAATTTAATATTAGCCATAAAATTCTAGCATTAACAACAGATAATGGAGGCAATATGATAGCATGTGGCAATCAATTAGCAGCAGAATTGGATCAAAATTTTAATAATATGTCTTTTACTCATTTTCGATGTGCTGCTCATATTATCAACTTGGCAGTAAAAGCTGGAATGAAATATGTAGGAAATGAAATTAAAAAGCTTCGTCAATTTGTTGTTAAATTAAAAAATTCACCAATATTATTGGATAAATTATTAGAAATTTGTACTATTAAAAAAGTTAAATTTCTAAAACCAATTTTAGATATAAATACTTGCTAGAATTCTACATACTTGATGATTTTTAGACAAATTTTAATGCAAAATGTCTCAAATATGCTTGTAACAATAAATTTGAAGAACTTGATAGTCTTTTTTCTACAATTTATGAATGGGGTCGTATTAAGGTATGTATTTATTATTTTGCTATTATAAATCATTATTTCTATAATTAATACTATATTATTAATTTTTAGGAATTATCCTTAGTTTTACAACCTATATATGATACTCAAAATGATGAAGTCTGATGCTATTTAAATAATAATGATATAGTAACAATTCAAGTGATTGATTATGGTGAAAATTATACCATTATCAAAGGTATTTTCAAACATAAGAGCAATGATGGATATTACTATCTATTTATTTACGTTAATTGGCTTGAGGATATTTATAAGAAGTACAAAAACTTAGATTGCCCAATATATATTCTTTATTATAATAGTATTTATCATAAATTTTTCCTTTACCAGTTGTAGATGGAATTTGAAAGGTGCATTTTGTGCATAACTATACTATACAATATGAAGAAGATAATCATAATTCAAATAATAATCAATATTTAAAAAACAGTTTCTTTTTTAAAGCTATTTAATACATTTGGTATGTATAAACGTCTTATGTAATAATTTCAAATATATATACATATTTATCAAAAAAAATTTCAATTTTATAGTTTTATAACTATTTATTCTAATTGCATCAAAACTGAAATTATTCAAAATATTAATAGTAAGTCCAAACGCATTGAGATCATAATTTTATTAGTATTTTTTAATATATATTAATATTATTTTATTTGTTATTTTATTACATTATTTAACATTTATTTAAACGAAAGATAACGAAAATAAATGAATATCACCTACAACTTAAAACGCAAAGAATAATTAATCTGATATAAGTGAAGAAATTAATTATAATAATGAAATTTAGTTAATATATAATAACAATATTTATTTTAGTAGCTTTATTGAAAAAAACTTCATTCATATCGACTAATTTTATGGTGAATGTTCTATAACTATTAAGTATTTGATTAAGTGTAATATGAGATATGATGCAAGAATAATTGTTATTTGTAAATAATTATTATTAGCTTTTTAGGTATATATAATAGCTATATTTACTATGCAAAGAATATACAAATCTATCACAAAGAATACATAAAGAAGCTTTATATTACTTTGTAAAATTTATGCATTATCTTTATAGATATAATATGTTTTCTTTATTCATACTATGAAATTTCTATATGATTTTTATACATTTTCTATATAAATACTATAATATTACTATATATTTCTATTTAATATACAGATTGCTATGTCATATTAACTATATACCTTTTACTTTTTTATAATATATGGGGTGAGTGCTGGGAAAAGAGATCAAATCGACAAAAAAATTTTTTTTGGAATAATAAATGATCTGAATCAGATGATCAAATCTACATCTATTTTACTTAGAAACTTTTTTTTTAAAAAAAAAATCAATTTGGTCCATTTTCCCAGCATTCACCCTATATGTAGTGGCTGCCTAGCTATTATCAAGTTCCAATTTCACGTGTTTCAGCAAAGAATGAAATTAATCAAGATGATAATCTTAAAATATTAAAAAGAAAAGAGAAGAATTTCAAAAAAAAAGTTGGATTTGAGGATGGTTTGATCTACTGAAATAGGTACTAAATGTCAAGTAAAAGTTATAACAGATCAACTTTGTAATAAGTATTATAAAAATAGAAGTTCAACAGAAAATTTAATAAGTTATTTAATTAATAAACATCAAATTATAGAAGGAATAAAAAAACAAGATTTTATAGTAAATAAAAAATTTGATTTTTATTTTTTTAAAATATTTGTTTAATAATTTAATAAATTATTAGGCATTATCAATTTCTCATCAAATTGAAGTAACTTCTCACAAGGAATCACATCAAATTAAGCTTTATAATTTATTAGTAAATTGAATAATTAATGATATATAATCATTAATTGTTGTAAAATCTGAATTTTTTTGTAAATCAGTAAAAGAACTTGATCCAAAGTTTTCCATACCAGATGTTAAATATGTTAAATAAATTAAGCAATTAATTTATAAATCATATAATAATACTTTACCTTTAATTAAGCAATTTTTAGATAATAATTCAATTTCAATATGTTTAATTACTGATATATGGACATCTAAAAATTGTCAAGGATATTTAGGAGTTACATATTCTTTTTTAGATAATAACTTTAAAATTTATACAATAAAATATGTTAGATATCAACATACTGCACAAAATATTTCTGATACATTATTAGCTTTATTAGATGAATAGGATTTAAGAGAAAAAGTTCATATAATAATAACTGATAATGGTGTAAATATGAAAAAAGCAATTAAAAATATGAATATAGTATCAAAAAATATTAAATGGCAATTTTGTATAGCACATACTCTTCAATTAGTAATTGGAAAAGATTTAAATGTAATTAAATTATTAGTTTTAAGAGCAAAAAGATTAATTATTTTTTTTAAGACCTAAGCAAAGTGAAAGACAAAGAAATTCAAAAAAACTTTCAACTTCAAATTAATGTGATTATATATGAAGTCAAAATGGATCATTTCAGATATCCGAAATGGTCGAAATGGTCAAAATCATTTCGACCATTGAAGGTTAAAGTCGCGAAATAATCGAAATGACGTCATATCACATGATTTTTTATATTGAGAAAAAACAATAAACAAAAAATATACAATCTCGGTCAATATCGCACCGATTCATATAAAACAACTACCATTCGATTCCTCGCGACTAGACGAATCCAATGAGCTAACATTCAATGATTTGGATCATCTAATCACGAGATAATCGCAATTGTATTATCGGCTGAAATTATGAATCAATAAATTCTACTTTAGATAAAGGAGTCCAGATTTAGAAATAAGATCGCGAATATCTCGAGATAGGCTGATCTAAATTAATTAATGTTAGCTCATTGGATTCATCTAGTTGTGAGGAATCGAATGGTAGTTGTTTCATACGAATCGGAGCGATATTGACCAAGATCGTACATCTTTTTTTTTTGTTTTTTCTATATATAAAAATCATGTAATATAACGTAATTTTGACCATTTCGACTTTTCATTTCGACTTTGACCTCCAAAGTCGAAACATTTCGACTTTTGGGTTTTCATTTCGACTTCATGTATAAATGTGATAATAGTGTCTATTATCTGAAATTAACATAATCCATTTTGGTTTTTTGGACATAACATCAAATACTGCATGAAGTGATGATGCTGTGAACCATGTGTTCTATCTTGTATCTGCTAACGAGTAATATGATCATATTCAGTTTTTCATTATTTTCAGATTTGATATATAGTGTAAAGTTCAACCTTTTTCCCGAAAAATTCAGATTTTAATTCTCGTGCTGATTTTGGTAAGATGCACATCTTATAATCAACAATAAGTATGGCACTATTACCATTTAATTCTAATAAGTTTGCTTGAACTTATACATTAAGAAATACTTTTCGTATTTGATGTGCAAGATAATGAAGTAGTTTTTCTTTTTATTATTTAGAAGTTGTTGTTCTTTAGTCAGAATAATTGATTCTAATTTATCAAAAAATGAATAAAGCTTTGAACATTGACTATACCTGATACTATGTGTTTTTTTACATTCACCAAACGCATAAAGTAAATAGTGATCAATACATTCACTATGTTTAATATAATCATTACTTTTAACACTAATTTCATATACATATTCTCTTTTTATGTATTATTTAATTAGTTCTACATCTTGTAATAATTTATTCTATATTTATAATAATAGTACATAAATTTGAATTATAATTTTATTGAATATAAATAAAATACAAAAAAAAACTATATACTTGAACCAAAAGATTTTCAATATAGAATTTTATAATTTTAGCTAAATCATCAAATACTTCATATTAATATTCTGCACAAATAGAACTAAATCTTCATGATATTTATATAAACCATCTTTGATTCTTACTATAAATGCTATTTTTTCATACCATTAGGATAAATTTCTAAAAATCTTTTCCATAATGATTCTTTTTGATCAAATAGGTAAAGAATAGGATGGTTTATTCTTAGGTCAACCTTATATGAACTCATACTCATATTTGCTTTATCTGAAAAGAAGACTTCAAATTGGTCTTCTATTTCTTTAATAAAAAGTGGACTATGTATAATTATAGGTTATTAATCTTGCCAGTAACCTGGACTATTGAGTGTAACATATTTTTTTGCTGCATTGATAGTTATAAGTAAAACCTAATTATTACCAGAAATTTATTTAGTTTTAGAAAATTTTGTTATAATACATATGCAAGAATTTTATATTATCCAAGTTTGTTTTGTAACTTCTAGTAAGAAAATTGATGTATAATAATAGACAAAATTTTTTGTATTCTATCAGAACCTTTTTGATTTTATGTTAAACTTTTTGCAAAACAATCCCAAAATATTTGTGATGGGTTTGAATGCTTGATGGATATGGATTTAAAAAGCCCAATTGAAAAAGATCTTTTATAGTTTTTTTTATTATTTGTAGAATTCAAGATTGTGTCCAAAATTTATACTATATTTTTTTTAGATAAATTATTAATTTATTTGATATAATTGAAATAAACCAATAAACAAATATAATACCGAAAAAACATAATTATTAAAAGGTATTACATCTGTACAGCCAGCAGCTCTAAGCATAGAATTCTAGGTTTGTATTTCACAATCATAAAATTGATAATTTTTTGAATACAATTTAACTAGAGTTGTATTTAGTTCAATAATATTTCCACTAAATTCCTATTGTTTAAACAATTGTAACCAATTTATTTCAATAATAGTTCATCTTTTGAGATAATATTTATATAAATTATTTATTAGTTCTTTATTATGCTATTGAAACGGTTGACATTTAGAAATATATAATCATTGCAATATAGATTGTATATACGTATGCTTGAATCCAAATAATTGTATACCCTGATATTTTCTCAAAATTCCAATCTTTTGCCAAATATCTGGCCTTCATATTGTGAAATTTTTATATTGCTTTTCCATACTTCTACTATAGATTTATTTTTTATAAATTTTTGAACAACTTTTTTCTAAAAAATATGAATAAAAAAAACTATATACCTCTCTTCAGAACCCATACAACCTTCATTTTTAGAAACACCTAAACTTTAAATCATAATAGATAATTTATTTACTAAACTAATTGAATAAGAACAAAATTCTATATTATGCAATAATTCATTAAATATTGATTCTTTATCAAAATCTATAACCATTAAACCTGAAATTTTTGTTTGAGTTTTGAAAATTTGTTTATATAAAGAAGTAATTGCATTGGTTGGATTATCTTTAATTTCACTAGAAACAGAATCACATTGACAAGTATAAACAGATTGGTTTATGTCAAATTTGTTTTCTTCTAGAATACGTATAATAAATTTTTTTCATTTATTTCTACTAGTGTTTTTATATTGTGAACGAATAAAATATGATAGGACCTACGTGGTGCAGATGATCGACAAATCTGACAAATCTGACATATATGACATATCTGACATGATCGACCAATCTGACATATATGACATATTTGACATAATCGACAAATAGGATATATTAGATAGATTCGACGTATATGACATATCGGATATATTTGACGTATACGATATATTAGA